TGAATATTTTTGATGCAAGAGTAAAAACGAACCTTTATTTTCCGTGTCTAAACAGCGCATTTACGAAAAAGTTATTGTGAATGTGAACCTCCTCCTTTTTGAAGTCGGTTAAAATGATACTAAATAAAAAATACTAAACACAAACACGGCAAAAAAAGACACTGGACGCCTGTCGTATTAACAACTTAATACACAAAAAGTTTGATTCACCAGTGAATTAATTTGGCATTATTGAAGAAAATGGCAATAAATCAGTAATATCAGTAACGTTTTTCAATTATCTATAGTTGTTTAGCGAAAATATATTTATGCAACACTTATCTACATATAAATTAATTACAGCTGCCATTAATGAAAACCATTACAAACTAAAATTTCCAACGAAAGTTAGTCAGATAATGGATCCATAATTAAATTAATCTGAAGAACATCAGGAATCCGAAGCCAAGCTAAGACTTCCCTCCACTCCATTGTAAAGGGAACCATAGGTGATAATAAAAAATGTAATAAACATATTTATACAGACAGTAAACATAACTGTGAGCCCTATCAAGCTGTTTGCCGATGATATTTTTTGCCAAATCTTCATAAATTTTTCCTTGTCGTGACAAGGTCGGTACAATAAATTGCATAAACAGAACAGACAGACGTTTGTATCGTATTATGTAATCATCAAATCACGTTTGCGTTTCCAGAGATTATAGGTACTCCCACAAGAAATGTCAGGTAAACTGTTAGGCTTCAGTAGTAGGGTAGTAGTGTATTAAGTAAATCAATATGAATACGTATTTTCCGGGTTATTGTGACTAACCACCTGTGGATAATGCCCTCGAACAAAACGGTCTGTAGTCTACAAATCACGTAATGAAGGCCTACACCATGCGTAATGTAGTACACCCCGTACTTAAGTGCAGGTTGCGTTGTTGCTTGGTTGAGTCCCCACTACCAGCGAGCGTAGTGACCTAAGGTAATTAAAATAAATCAAGATATGAAATAGAACATCAGTTCTCTTGTGCTTGGCGACTACGAGGAACCTATACAAGTCTTATGAACCATACTTACTCGTATAAGCTAAACTGTGATCACGGCGGGTATCGTTTCATCCACGAAGACGCGCCCCACCAATTTTTGCTCGAGGGAAGCGAGGGGTGCGGGGAGTTTGATCCGAGCAATCCGAGCTTCATTGTGCGTGTGCACTCATGGATAATTTAGCGTGTACCGATAGCATTCAAACATTAGCGGAAGAATGATGGGGCGCGTCTTCGTGGATGAAACGATCTACACTGTTATAGTGTCACTAATTTAAGTAATTCTTTGAACTTATCGATGGAAATACTGATCTTATGTTAGGCCTGATTTAGTTTCGTTTTAGACTTTCTGTAGGAGAAAAAACGCGCAGTTGGTTAACTCACTAGGTTTGTGTCTCCCGCTCAAAGTCAGCACACGCCAGTATGCACTCCTTATCGGCTAACGTGCACTTATAATTATTTCTCACGCCCTCATACTATAGTCCAAGGGAATAGAGCGCATAATTAAATCTGTAGCTTCATAGCTTCACATTACACCCAACATGGATAATGCTTGCGTCAATACTTTTACACTTTAGTGTGATTAGATACGATATTGAAATTGCGCGCGCAGTTCTCGAAAATGTTTAGCAAGCTATCGATTGTCAATTGTTTATAATGTCCAAAGAAACTACAAAAACTCATAATATGATTGAACTGTTTCCATCTGCTCCGCATGTTATCGTGATTCGTTCTGCGCCCTATAATGTTCGTGAGAAGCATTACTCAAACATTTTCTGTGTTTCGATATTGAATCTTCGGGGTATTGAAAGAGAGTTGTTTTCAGCGAACAGCACCGGTAGCAGCCGGCTGTCGCGGCCGATGCAGCGCAAGCTGGTGACGCTGCTGCAATGCGCGATGACGGACGACGAGGGCCGGGGCCGGGCGGCGCGCGCTGCGCGGTCGTTGGGCGAGAGGACCGTCACCGAGCTCATACTACAGCACCAGGTTAGTTCAACCTTCTGTCTTCTCCCCGAGCTCATACTACAGCACCAGGTTAGTTCTACCTTCTGTCTTCTTCCCGAGCTCATACTACAGCACCAGGTTAGTTCAACCTTCTGTCTTCTCCCCGAGCTCATACTACAGCACCAGGTTAGTTCTACCTTCTGTCTTCTTCCCGAGCTCATACTACAGCACCAGGTTAGTTCTACCTTCTGTCTTCTCCCCGAGCTCATACTACAGCACCAGGTTAGTTCTACCTTCTGTCTTCTTCCCGAGCTCATACTACAGCACCAGGTTAGTTCTACCTTCTGTCTTCTTCCCGAGCTCATACTACAGCACCAGGTTAGTTCTACCTTCTGTCTTCTTCCCGAGCTCATACTACAGCACCAGGTTAGTTCTACCTTCTGTCTTCTTCCCGAGCTCATACTACAGCACCAGGTTAGTTCTACCTTCTGTCTTCTTCCCGAGCTCATACTACAGCACCAGGTTAGTTCTACCTTCTGTCTTCTTCCCGAGCTCATACTACAGCACCAGGTTAGTTCTACCTTCTGTCTTCTTCCCGAGCTCATACTACAGCACCAGGTTAGTTCTACCTTCTGTCTTCTTCCCGAGCTCATACTACAGCACCAGGTTAGTTCTACCTTCTGTCTTCTTCCCGAGCTCATACTACAGCACCAGGTTAGTTCTACCTTCTGTCTTCTTCCCGAGCTCATACTACAGCACCAGGTTAGTTCTACCTTCTGTCTTCTTCCCGAGCTCATACTACAGCACCAGGTTAGTTCTACCTTCTGTCTTCTTCCCGAGCTCATACTACAGCACCAGGTTAGTTCTACCTTCTGTCTTCTTCCCGAGCTCATACTACAGCACCAGGTTAGTTCTACCTTCTGTCTTCTTCCCGAGCTCATACTACAGCACCAGGTTAGTTCTACCTTCTGTCTTCTTCCCGAGCTCATACTACAGCACCAGGTTAGTTCTACCTTCTGTCTTCTTCCCGAGCTCATACTACAGCACCAGGTTAGTTCTACCTTCTGTCTTCTTCCCGAGCTCATACTACAGCACCAGGTTAGTTTTACCTTCTGTTTTCTTGCCGAGTTCATACTACAGCACCAGGTTAGTTCTACCTTCTGTCTTCTTCTTACTCATTCGCAAAAGCTTAAGATTGCTTACACATTTAGGCGATTTAGCAGCGCGACAGACGTACTGTCGAAAATTTCATACTATGTGACAGCGGATGCATGCCTTCACATTATGGTGCGTCCACACTGGGCGAACGTGCTCGCGCGGCACGCTGGTCATCCTGCACACTCGACTGCTCTTGAATGAGCAGGATGTTGAGTTTGCCGCGCGAGCCCATTCACCCAGTCTGGACGCACCATTATAAAAACGCCGCTGCCGCGCTGCAGTCGCGCTACTAACGCCCTAACGTGAAAGCACTCTAAGGCCTAAGGCCTCAGCCTCGAGTTTAGCGGGCAGCGGGGTGGGAGCGGCGGCGGCGCGGAAGCGGGGCGGGCAACGCAGACCCGTTCTCGTAACAAGCGGGCAGCTCGCGCGGCTCTTTAGCGGCGATGTGTTGTATTCGGGGTTGTGTTGTCGAGATATTTGTTTTTATTCGCAAACGAAATGTCTGAACAACGGCGACAATTTTATTTCGATACAAATTTATTCCTAACGCCCGATTTATTGTGGGCAAAAGAAGTAATGCGCTGCCCGCTCGTTGCCCGCTCCCGCGCCGCTGTTTTCGAGAACCGGTCTATTTGATTTTACGCATAAGATCCTGCCGCTCCCGCGCCGCTACCGCCGCCGCTCCGCTGCCCGCTAAATTCGAGGCTGAGGCCTAAGACAGCTTGCACATTAGGGCGTTAGAAGCGGAATAGCAGCGCGGCTGCGGCGTTTATACAGGGTGTGGTTTTGTTAAACAACGCCCATCTCAGGGATTGTAGTACATGAAAGTAATTAGATACAAAAAAATATAAATAAAATTTTAACTATTATTTTATTACTAAAAACCTTGTTCAAATGTCTTCTAAAACTTCTGAGACAGCGCTTGTTACCACCGGCACCACCCCCGCGTACCCCGCTACACCACCGAGCACATGCGGCCGCCGCCCCGGGAGAGCAGGGGGACTGTCCGATAGCTCGCCCGCGTAATAATAGCCATTTTCCTGATTTCATGGATTTTTCCATGAGGGTAATTTTTTTTTGGCATCGCGTCGTGTATACTACCACCCCTGAGATGGGCATTGTTTAAAAAACCACACCCTGTATGTGAAGCCGGTCATAATAATGCTGTCATCGAAGTATTCGGTAGCAAATAAATAAATAGACACAGTAGGCATTAGGCATAATTTACTGTTGGTGAACCAAATAAATAATATAAAAATAAGAAATTTAATGATAACAGTCATCAAAAGCAAAGAAAAAACCCTAGTTCGGTTATGCGTTGAGGTAGGGACTATGATGGAAAATCCAACTAAGTATGATACAATAATGTTAAGATGATAAATATTCTGAAAAATCTGCCGTGATGACGCAAGAGTGGGCATCGTATATCTCCGTACGGCCAGTAAATAGCCGAATCCTTATAAATTCACTTACGTGTCTTTCTGTCCGATATGATGTCTCGAATGTATTATATTAAATTATAGGCTTTAAGTTATTCTGAGTTATAAACAATAATACTGTAGTGTAAAGTTTCATCAAAATACGTTCAGTAGTTTTTGCGTGAAAGAAAAAAGAAAGTATCCAGACATCTCCAGAACTCAATTTTAATAATCCAAAATGACATCTTTAAGAGAGCTGTACGAGTAAATAAACCATTTTGTTAAGTCAAACATGTCCAGGATTTTTAGCTTCGCGCGATCACGAGCTAGCTCAGTAGCTAGCCTTCCACCTAATGAACTGGTGACCTAGTTGGGGTGGCCACTGGATACACACGGCCCACGGCCACACCCGTGTTGCTAGTTCGTTCGTCGTTCATACGTTCTATAGGGGATGCCTATGTCAAGCAGTTCTTTATTCCAGAAGTTGAAATAAACAGTGAGGATCTTCTTTACTATTGTTTTTCATTTTGTAGGCAGTAACTGTGAATGCAAAAGTTGGTTTGACGTTGACCGTCTCATTCGCAAAATGGTCACGGATAAAGCCTACCATTTTTGAAACAATAGTTTAACTTATAGGTTGAAAATGTTAAACTTAAACAACTTTTATCTGAATGTGATTATTTTGCGAATGAAACAAAATGAATGACCATTTTTGAATTCGTGACGAAATGCGAATGGCCGTCCCAAGCCGTCCCCTGCATCAAACCCTGCGAAGCGTAGTAGTGACTAGGTATGTCTCGTTAATTTGTGATATTTTCAAGTCTGAACCACACAATATTGGCATGGAATTAGATTACGATGTTACTTTCTATCATCAACATAGAGGGGCCTATACCCATAAAGCATTTTCAAACTCATCATTTTTCAACATAGGGTAGATAAAAGAGTGCTTTAACGTGTTTTGGGAAGCCATCCCTCAATCAGCAACAATGCTAATTACGAACAACCTTGACATGATAGATCGATGTTATCTACGCTATAGCAAGGCAGTTAGATATTACCGTGCTCTGTGGTCTCAGTACCTTTGCAGAATAATCTGGTAGAATGACTTTTTACCTCTATAAGTTTTTGGAGTATTGTAATAAATAAGCATAGAAAACTGCGACGTACAGTCAGCGGCGAATAGTTCGTGACACCCAAAGTAGCCAAAAAGTTGACAACACATATTCCACTAGTAACAAAGACGTGTTGCGAACTTTTTGTCTACTTTGCGTAATAATTTGATGCTGACTGTACTTGTAGCGATGCAGTTGAGTTGCAATCGTGCGCCGCTCTAGTTCGCTTGGACCTTAACCTGTCTAGTACCAGTAAGGCCGGCAATACATGCGACTGCACAGTGAATTGCAGAGTTCTGTGGACGCACATACACGAACCGCTCGAGCAGTTGCAACTGATTCGGGCGGTCGACAGCACGGTGAATTTTCATCGTGCGGTCAAGCAGTCGCCAGCCATACACTGACTGCTCGAGCTGTCGACAGCTCTCGCGCAGTTACCTCCGCCCACTTTCTTCATTCCACGGCGCGCGCGCTTGTGATTTGTTGAGCAGTTAATACCAACTGCTCGAGCAGTTATCGCTGGCAGCTTCAAGCTGTTGACTCTTGACTGCAAGAGCGGTCCGTGTATGTTGATCACTGACTAACTGCTCGAGCTGTCCGTGTATGGCGGGCCTTAACATCACAATAAGACAACAATCATTTGGTGACGCACCAATAACTAAAATAGGTCGCCGGGATCGGTTTCTCTATTGTACAACAGTGAAAAGGTAAATGGGCATTTTGTTCAGACCTGTGACCCACCAAAACCAGACAAGTTTCCCTTTGGATCAAATAAAAACATTTCGTAAAATATAAAAAATGCTTAATGACCTTTGGCTCTTATAGACTAAGAGCTGGTGAACGCCAGACCTACCTATTTCATTATATGTATAAAAGCTGAAAGTTTGTCAGCCTATGCTCACAATATAGGATAGAATGTTAGAATGCCAATATAGGATAGGATAGAATGTTAGTTGTGGTTGGGACTGTCAAAACTGTCTGGCTGATGTGGAAACAACTTCTAATCATTGCCCAAATATTATACATCAAAATCAGATTTTATGGTATAACGTAAGTAGAATTTTACATTCTATTGAATATACAGAAAAAGCCACCGTTAAAATTTCAAAAATTAGGCTACCGTTATACCATAAAAGCTGATTTTATATAAAATATTTGGGCAATAATTAGAAGTAGTTTTCTCATCAGCCAGACAGTTTTGACAGTTCCACCTCCTTGCCAGACAGTTTTTTTAGGATAGCTGCCAAAGCCACGATGACCCAAACTTCATGATTCATCAACATTCTATCCTATATTGGGAGCATACGCTGACAAAGTTTCAGCTTTTATAAAATGACGCAGGTCTGGAGTTCACTAGCTCTTCGTCTATTACCTTGATTTACGTATTTTAATTCACTTACCTCTCATAGTAAAATAGTCGATTGACATTCTGACTGTTGTTATACACTAAACATATCTATGGTAGGTACATCGTATTTAATTAAATGGACATCGTTTATATAATTAAATACAGTTCAAAATCAAAATCAAAATTATCTTTATTTGTATAGACTGATTAAATCAGTTAATTCCATGTCATCATTTTTATTTGTGCATCGTTTGTAAAGTTGCATTTTTAAGAAGACATTTCATTGGTCGAATTAGTCACGCTGCTGCGTTTGCGAATCTCACTGGATGCGATATTTGAGATGTTATCATTCCAAACAGATACCTAACTAAAATTAAACCGAAAACCTTGTGTTCAAATAATGATTTCTTTATAATACCACTAGCTGTGCCCGCGACTTCATTCGCGTGAAAATATTTTCATAATATTTCCTGTTTTTGCAACATTTTTCTTTACTGCTCCGTCCCTATTGGCTGTAGGGTGAAGTTATACCCTAAAGCCTCACTCGATAAATGAGCTATTCAACACAAAAATATTTTTTCAAATCGGACCAGTATTTTCTGAGATTACCAAGTTCAAGCAAACAAACTAACAAACTCTTCAGCTTTATTATCTATATATATAAAAATGAAACCCGTTTCGCGTTGTCACGGCATCACGTGTGAACGGCTGAACCGATTTCGATAATTCTTTTTTTTTAATGTTTGTGGAAGTCCAAGGATGGTTCTTACGGAAAAAAATATTAAGAAAATCTCTACGCTAAGGCGGTACGAAGTTCGCCGGGTCAGCTAGTATTAGTATAAATTAAAGACAAGCACAACGTTTAAAGCAAAATAATATGTATACAGTATGCCGCAGTAAATTATTATGAAATAATACATTAGCTTAGAATTATAAGTGTTTCATGAAACGTTTTAAACATGTAGCATTACATTAATTACTATAATAGATTAATTAAGTACTTATAATATGATTATCATTATTGTTAAAAGTAATTTTACATCGTTTAACGCCAATTGCAATTACCGCAAAAACCTTTATAAACATAGATTTGTAATTTTGACTTAATAATAATATCTAACGTCCAATATCTAAAGTGATTGATACATTTATAATTCATATAGGTATATGATGCAAAATTAAAATATCGTCGCCTACATAGATTCACTCTGACGCCAATGAATCTATAATACGTGCTCCTTTTGTTTTCCGGAAATTTTAGGGGTATATTGAGCTATAAATAAAAACTAGTTAAAGGAGTCTTAGGAACATGTGTTTCTAAAAGCATATTTTGAAGATATTGTGGATTCTAGATTTAGAAGATACCTAGTTGATTTAGATTATAGTATCATCAATCTAGTTATTTTTTTCAAAATTGTCACCTATTCTTTTTGTGCAGACTTTTTATTGATAAGTGTATGTAAATTATGAATTATTTCAGTGAAAAATAAAGTTTTTAAATAATTTCGTATGAAAAAATAAGTCGAAAAAAATTGTTGAATTTAACAAAAAATTTAATGCCATTCCATTCTGTGAAGTGGTCTTATTAATACCCTAGAGTTCCAGGGAATCAAAAAGAGCACGTTGTATAAGATAAAACATTTATTCCGTGAATTTCTATGCTTATAAATAAGAATCTACCGTCGTTTTCAGAATCCGCAACAGCTGAGCGCCAACTTGTGGGCGGCGGTGCGAGCGCGCGGCTGCCAGTTCCTCGGGCCCGCCATGCAGGAGGAGGTCCTCAAACTGGTCCTCTTGGCCTTGGAAGACGGCTCCGCGTTGTCTAGAAAGGTGCGACTTCTTCTTCTTCTTATCGTGTCACAACAAATCTACACAGTGTCAGCCCAAACTCCGCTACAAGAGTGGCGTTGTCAGCAGCATTCATTAAATCCTCCTGAGTGCAGTTGCTCGGGCACTCAGGGCACGACATGTGCTTCATCGACTGCGAAGGAAAGTGCGACTTATTAGGCTAGTTAAAAAAAAGTCTGTCCATTATCAAAAAATATTGGACAAGGTATGACTAGTTACGATTTTGCCAATAATGAAAATTAACCTTTTGTATGCCTTAGGAGCACTGATCAGGACGAGACATAACTGTCTACAATCTCGGTATTTAATTGGTTAATAATCGACCTTTTTATTCACAAATTATATCGCCACCACAAAATATGCTATATAGAATACGTTACTTATAAAATTGTGCATTAAAACTTGATTTGTCTTTCCACAGGTTTTAGTGATGTTTGTAGTCCAAAGATTGGAGCCCCACTTCCCGCAGGCTTCCAAAACTAGTATAGGGCACGTTGTGCAGTTGTTGTACAGAGCGTCTTGTTTTAAGGTGAGCAGATCTTCAATATTGTTGTATTTATTAATATTGAACCCTATTTACCGATTCAGCAGATGTATTCACTAGTATGTAGTTACGTCTCTAGTTAATAGACAAATCGCTCTATGTCGCCATCTTGTTGTCTGTGGTAATCTCTCTGCAATAAAACTGCGTCTGCTAAATTTAAACTATTTTTATTCAAATAAATAGTAATATCATATAGGGCGCACAACGAGAGTTGAGGCAAACATTTGCATCTGTATACGCTGACAGCGCTGACGTTTGGCGTAGTAGACTAACAAGTGCTTTTAGTCTCGCTTGCACATATTTAGCAAGAGCGAGGTAGCTATAGTATTCTATATTTGAACTTGAATGTGTTGTGTGTGGTCTGTATTAAAATATTACATCAGTTTGAGTACTATAGTATGGACGCCTCAACTTTCGTTGTGTGACCTATACTAAGCTCGCGAACCAAATCAAAGATTTTGCCTAAAAATTTACAAGAACCATGTTACAGTGATAATGTATGTAGATACTGTGTCATTTAAGGTGGAAAAGAACTCGTATCTCATGTACTTAGGTAGCGCCCTTTCACATTCTGCGTTAGCAATGTGACCAGAAAGCGCTTGCGCTATATTAGACAAAGTAGAAACTGTTTTCGCACAACACTATTTTGCAAGCGTGTGGTAGGATACCGATTACTGATTTTAGCTACCCCACCATCGATACATTAGGGGAGACCGAGGTGAGTTGTAACAGAGGATAGTTGTGACATTGTCGTTTTTTGGAAACTGTCAGCGAGCTCTCAACAGCGCGCATTTGTTAGCTCGAGACTTGAACTAAAAACGGCCACTGTTATAGATCGTTTCATCCACGAAGACGCGCCCCACCACTTTTTGGTCGAGGGAAGCGCGGGGTGCGGGGAGTTTCGTAACGTAATCTCTTCGTCGGAGATTTCAGTCACTGTACTTACCATATTCTGTGTTCGTGTAAAGCTGCCCTTCAGGGCTGCTCTAATTCGTTTTAATTTATTTATTTCCATGTCCAACGATGCCAAGTATTAAATAATACAGCATTCCGCTAATCCATCATATTTATTAGTGAACAACGTGTTTTTATGGAGACGTCATCCATAGACATGATAGTTTCCATGACTGCACACGCACACTACAATATGACCAAAAAGTGGTGGGGCGCGTCTTCGTGGATAAAACGATCTATACGAGCTCGCTAGTAGTTAATAGGTTCTAAGAAATGTCACAATTCTCCTCTGTTACAACTCACCACGGTCTCCCCTATAGATACTAAAGCCTGGTCTGTGAGCACGTAGAATTTTGTCCAATGACCCCAAGCTACCCATATCCTTATCGCTCGCGCGTAATTATATTGCTGTCGCGACTGTGCAACAAACTGTGACTGTGAGACAAAATTCTACGTGCTCACGGACCAGGCTTTAGTTGTGCTGACGTTTTTCCCAGTTCGTTGACGCCTGAATAAGTTATAAATGAGCTACTCATATCAACTCCTTTTGAATGTAAAACATATACCGCTATTTATGAATTGAACATGTTAAGGAAATTCAAAGCTTAAATAAAACATGAGGCTAGTTCCTTGGCATTGTAAAGTTGAAAAATGAGGTCTTTATCATTAATCCATATGGATTAAGATGGTTAATTTATGATTTGGATTCGTTTCAAACATGCGTGCATTCAAACGTGGGTTATCGCAATTTTTTTTTTTTATTTTTTTTATTTAACAACTTAAAGAAAGTTACATTGAGACAATTACATTTAGATAGCTTTAAAAACCACTAGGGTTTGATGTAAAGCTAACGAGTTTGCAGTGGGTACATTCACAATTTCACATACAATTACATAAATACAGCATAAAAACATTTTAATATTGTTACAATAGCTTGCAATTGCGAGATGTGAATCATCACAGAAGCATTTTTGCATATTGAAAAATCTAAAAGTGTAAATACAATGCAATTTGCAATAGTTGTCCAACACGGTTCATTCATGGCCGCACACTTTACATCGAATAAAAAGTAATAAAAATTGATACTAGATAGCATTATAAAGGTAAATCAGGCTGTTATGCCTTTACATATGATGCTATACAAAAAACAATTTAAACTGCCTACATCCGAAACTATCCGAAACCTCTGAACCGGTGACGGTTACGGTTTCGATTTTTTTATTTCGGATATCCGAAAGTTTCGGTTACGGTTACGGATATCCATAAGATTCCTGGTGCACACGCACACTACAATAATGACGCTCGGATTGCTCGAATCAAACTCCCCGCACCCCGCGCTTCCCTCGACCAAAAATTGATGGGGCGCGTCTTCGTGGACGAAACGATCTATAGCACATTAAAAAAACACAATTTTCGGCAAATGCAAAGTGACCTAAAGCTAAAAAGGATTATATTTGCGATTATTCTCAAAACAAATTCTCTGCTCACGCTACGTCTTCCAGCTCGTGGTCGCCACTCAAGAACTTTCCTGCCCCAGCGGCCGTCAGCTCTTCGAGCTATGTGCCCCGCCCACTGCCACTTGATTTTAGCGATTCTGCGGGCTATGTCAGTCACTCTGGTTCTCCTACGGATCTCCTCATTTCTGATTCGATCACGCAGGGAAACTCCGAGCATAGCACGCTCCATCGCTCTTTGGGTGACCTTGAGCCTTCTTATGAGGCTCATAGTAAGCGACCACGATTATTCTCAAAACAAATTCTCTCTTCCAGGTATCAAAACGTGAATGCGATTCGTCGTTAATGCAATTAAAAGAGGAGTTCAGATCGTACGAGTCGTTGCGTAGAGAGCACGACGCGCAGATAGTCCAGATAGCGACGGAGGCCGGTCTGAGGATCGCGCCTGACCAGTGGAGTGCCTTGCTGTATGGCGACACAGCTCATAAGAGCCACATGCAAAGTATTATTGGTAAGTCTATCGTAGTTTTGGTGAAAAGGAGATTTTTTAAATATTATATGAGTGAGCTGCACCACCTAACTTTGGCTGTAACTTTAACGATAACCGGTGTTTTTGTATTAAAAAAAATTAAAAATAGTATTTCTATTTCAACAACTAAGATGATTCCGACTGATGGAGTTAAAAAAGGGCATTAAGAACCACAACAAATCATAACTAAATCCCAACCAATCGTCACATTCATAGCCCTCATCAACTCAATAGTCCATCAACTCAAGGGGATCAACAAAACATAGCTTTTAAGCTACGTATTGTTGGATCTCTCTGTTTTCACGTTTGGTAGCAGACTGTATCCATTAGCAGACTGCAAATAAACGCCCTTGGAGCTCAGAACTTTCGAAGTTCAATAAAAACTGTGAGCACATTATTAGGTACTTTAGCCAAAATCGCAAAAGTGCCAAAGATATAAAAAAGAGCGTTAAGTTAAATTTGCATTTAAAGGAATAAGAGTATTCATTAATTTTATGGACATTCAAAGGGCGTTTTGTCCAATGATTGGCAGCGCCCAATAACTGTCGGTTTACCCTATGACGTAACAGAGCATACAATGAGGGCTATCGTTTTTATACTTAACAGTTGGCACCCCTGGCGATTGACAGGACCCTACTCTACAGTGGCGCCATCTTGATGAGTGCAAATACGATAGTCCTCCTACCACTTTCGCGCTCATCAGTTGGCGCCACTGTCTTCGCTACTAGCAAGTGACAGGACCTTACTCTACAGTGGCGCCAACTGGTGAGCGCTAAAACGATAGCCCTCATTTTGAAGGAGATGTGAAGTCTCGCTGACGTTTGATCGTCACAAAAAAATCCTCCCGTGCCGCTTTGATACCTCAGGCACTGACTCAGTTAACCCTATAGTCACACCACAAGTCAATGAGGTTCCACGCGCAAAAGTTTTTTTTACAGATGGCGCTAGCGAAGGTCCGCACTTGTCAAAGAATTGAAACTTTTTTATTCGGGTTGCAATGGTTATTTCATGGGCTTTTTAGTCAACTGGAAGCTTATGGAAATCAGTAATATTTCCCACTTTTATTTCATCAAGGAATTGGGGATTGATGATGTACGATTAGAACTGCCTGGTATCAAACAGTGGCTTAATGGTGCTTAATGGAAGTCAGTACGAGAAACACCAATAACACTAGTTCTCGTCGCGTTATCCTACTACTTGCTTGTTGTACAGTGCTTAACTGTTTTCCACTTTGTTCTATAGACAAGCTGCAAACGCCGCAGTCCTTCGCGCAGTCAGTCCAGGAGCTGTTTATAGCGCTGCAGCGAACCGGGGACCCGGCGCAGCTGGTGCTCATGAGCGGACACCTCGACCGACTGGCCGGCATCGACGCTAGTCCAGGTAATGTGAGCCCTGCTCCCTTTCCCTTCCCTCTAATATGGTCGAGTGAAGCGATGGCTGGTTCACTCGTCATGTCTGTGAACAGGCGCTGCTTTCGGGGACTGGTCAATCCAAGTTATTCAAATTTATGTATGCGAGTCATTTCTACTAGTATCTTAATATGTAAGTCTAGATATTAGCACGACACTACCTTGTTTAATATACCACGCAATCTTGTATACCCATTCTTATAAGATACACCATACAAGAATGCATGGTAAATTCAGTGAACTGCTCCTGAATCGAATGTACCTACTACTACTATTTATATTTATTTATATTAACCGGCAGACAGTGGTGACTGAGTTTGTTGCGGCGCTTCTTCTCAGCACTTGCCAAATGTTGGTCTCGAAGCGCTGGTAGGGTAAAAAGATTATGAGACATGTAGAGGCTCCTTAACAGCAAAATGACGATTTGTAAGAACTATTTATTAGTCTAAACAAATAAAGAAATTTTGACTTTGACTTTGACTTGACAACCGAAAACAACAGAAAAAAGCAGACGTTAAGACCCGTGTCTTACTATTTTAATTGAAATGGAACGCGAAAGTTTAAAATCTTATATGAGGCAATAAAGTTCAAAATAATGTGGCAACTATAATACCATCTCCTGAGACAACTGAGTAACACTTCAGGAATTAACCAAGTATTAACTAATGTCTGTGCATCTTCTTGACTCGCCTCACCGGGCATCCCACATCACTAAGCGCAACCTGAAGCAGCCTACGTCACTACATCGCGCACCTCTGGTTACATTTTTTACTAACGACCAGTAATCTTAATAATATCTTGTGGGAGTGTGATCTTTGGAAACATGAACGTGACATAATACTTAACTCAATACAACATACATCTGTTTCTGCAATTTATTACACAGATTTTGTCGTGACAAGGATGAATTTCCGTGCTTTTAAGCGATCTTGTGAAAAATGTTATTGGCAGGTAGCTAATAGCTCATAAGATAGGCCCCTTTAATTGATGTTTATTGACCGTGGTGCATATCTTTTCATAAAGGTTACTCCGCTTTGCAACGGAGGGAAGTCGAACCTTAACTTTGAAATCCTCCTATGTTCTTCTGAAACTCAAACTCAAACTTGACCTTCACTGGCTGGGTTTTTATTGGCGGTCAAGCTGTAGATCCTGGCTACACAGGAGTTGCAGCTGTGGAAAAGAGAGGTGGGAATAGTCCCGTTTAGAGTAGGCGCACACCGTTGATTTTTCGTCGGCCGATAGTTTAGTCGGGCAGTTGATCAGTATGGGCATGTATGGGAGTGCGCACACTACGCCGATTCGATTTGGCCGATTCTTCATACAATTTAAAATCGGGCACAACTATCGGCCAACTAAAAATCAACGGTGTGCGCCTACTCTTAACGACCAGTAAACCACATAAACACAGTTTAATTAAACAAGCATTAACAAGCAATAACATTAACCTCATATTCCATTGTTGCAGACGCCAGAAGCCCCTCGTGGCAGCAGCTGGCCGACATAATGACGTCACTCAAAGAGGTCGTGTCGGGCCTCATCCACTACCTTCAGAATGCAACGAGCCGCGACGCCAATCACAACCCCCGGCCGGCCACTCAAGAGAGATTGCCTGAACCGACGTCAAGTGAGTATGTTTCGCAAAGTGATAAACTGATATTTACAGATACTTCACTATGCTGGAATTTTATATTCAAATCCTAATCAAAAACCGTCCGTCAACTGTCAAATTTCAATATGTTTTTGGTCAAAATATCTGCGGTTTTCGATGTTTTTACATTTTCATATTGTTTATTATCTATTCATATTGGATATTATTTGATCTAAAACTGAATTTGACAGATGAAATCTGGATTTGGACAAGGATTGAATATTGGAAACGGGCGTAAGAGCACATTTTTCAATCGTCAGATATCTTTTGACTGAAGAATAAACTTGTCATTTTGACATATTTCCCATACGGAAGCTGTCAATGTGCCAAACTTATTCTTCAGTTAAAAGTTATCCAACTATTGAAAATACCAGCTCTAAAAGGGATTGTCTCGGTTTTCGAACGACTCCAGAACATGGGGTTCATCTTAGTTCTGATCTTGAGGACGTGAGTTTAACCTTAGGTCTCCCACCCTAGAGAGATTGTCTGAACCCTTGTCAAGTGAGTATGATAATGTTTCGTACAGCGATAAAACTGATACTTCGCATAGAAACAAAATTTCTTCTAAAAGGGATCTTAGTTCTCATCAGGCTTCAGAACGTAAGTTTCAAATTTAATCTTAGGCCTGCCAAGTTAGAGAGATTGCCTGAACCTTCGCCAAGTATGTTTCGTATAGTGATAGAGCTGATACTTCTTACAGAAACAAAATTCCTTCTCCTAAAGTACGGCCAACGAGAAGCGATACCAAATAATAATAATAACACAAAATGGGAAGAGACAGAATATATTGTCAACTCGACAGTCGTATCGACCTTTTGTATCGCTGCTAGTTGGCCGTACTTTACGTCAATTCAGGCTTCAGATCCTGAGTTTCAATGTTAGGTCTGCCACGCTAGACTACAAACTTTAAGTCGGTACCAAATCGGTGTAATGTGCGCACGTCCATACATGTTCATATTGATAACAGCTCGACCAAACTATCGGCCGACAAAAAGTCCGTTGTCTGCGGGGTATCTAAACCGTCTACAAGTGAAAGGTGTTTTGCATAGGTATTGAACTTCTTCCAGAATCAACATTTTTCCTTCTATTTTACTAAAAGGCATCATTTCAGTTCTCAAAATGTTTCCGAGGGCTTAGTGTGAGTTTACTTAGTTTCCGCTAGGGGCGCTGAACAATCCGTCATACATTTAATGTCATTTTTTACGCGCTGACTAGTGAGCTCAGCCCTCTGAACGTGAATAGCTTCAATCTTAGGCCTACCACGCTAGATATTATGTGAACCGTGTGCGTTCGTTTCGCATACTGATATTTGTAACAGAATCAACATTTCTCTGACTTCTTCATTAACCCTTCAAGCCTCGCGAATCGAGACGCAATAGAAATCAGTTGTTTGTTACGCGGTCTTATGCGATTGCTTGGGTTTGATAGGTTAAGAGAAGTCATCCATTTTAATCTACCTAATGTGTTTAGAACAAGATAGTTTATAAGGCCGGCCACCAGACAAGTATGAACTCTGAAAACAACACTTTAGTATGTTTCGAATACTAACAAAGCAGATTTCTTGCAATTCTGCGTTAAGTTGCGTAAGTTCGACAGGATCTTTATTTTTCGGTCATTAATATACACAATTTAAATTGTTATTGCATTCTTTCACTTGGAGCATCATTTTGGCAGATGTTAAAAAGATAAAGCTTTATGAAGCTCGTGTCATTGTATTTCAGGAAAAAATACATAGACATACAAATTAGCTTTAAGGTAGGATGCGTTGAAAAAAAAACATTAAGTATTTCATGGAACAGCAATGGTGCCATAAAATAATAACACTTACGGTTTTAAAGAATGATTTAAAATGTTTACTGCTCAGTAAAATGGTAAAATTGGCGACCCGAGAACGCCGGACTGTTTTGCATAGCAATATTCATTATACGAGTAGGTAACTGAGAAAACACTTACAAAAAGGGAGGACGCTGCAACACATTTAAGTGTATAAAAGATTTTTAAGACTTTATAGCCTTCAAGGAACGGTAAGCGGTAACGGTGACCCTTATACTTACTGGTTTATTATTGATATAATATTCTTATTGTTTCATTTCGTCATGTCAATGAAATGAAATAAACGTAGACGTTTAACAAAACACAAGAATCTAAAAGTGACTACTAGAGTTTGTCATACAGGGTGAATTTGTAATCAGTATCCAATTTTTTTTAATAAGCTCTTTAGAACAACAATACAACTTTATCTTAAATAATTTTAATCGTGGAATAATTTTTTGGCGAAAAATATTTCGCCAAAAAATTATTGAAAGTCTATATCTTTAAAGGTTACTGCTTATTTTCGCTCACCATTATGTCTATTGCGCTTTGCTTAATTAATTAAACTTAATTAAAACGAAGCAAATTATCCACGTGAGCCAATTGTGAAACCGCGCGCAGTTGATAAAAATAATTAAAAATGAAAAAAAAATCAGTTTTTTTACGTAAAACAATTAATTTACTGATCCTGAGTCGCTCCTAAAAATTTGGACACTAATACAAAAATCACCCTGTATTTAAGACGTGTGTAAGCGCCCTGGGAAGGGCCTAAATAGGTACTGAATAAATGCTTTGACTTTTAAATTTATTTTAATTGTGTATGACTTAAGCACGTTTTCACCATCAATCCCTAATTTTTAAGTGACCCCTTTGTAAACAAAATTCCTGTTATTTGTTACCAATTACCATAGGGGTCACCTAAAAATTAGGGATTGATGGTAAAAACGGGCATTAAACACTTGACAATCAAGTCCGAGCAAATCAGTGACGTGGCAAGAGGTAGACAAGAGAGAAGCAAAAAGAATTTTTCAACTTTGCAGAACTACCTAGAGTGGTGGATTTTTTTTGGTAGTAGTGCTGAATTGATTTTGATGGAGTAAAAACTGTATGTATTATTATGTAAACTTTAAAACAAGTTTCAGTTAATAAATAATAAAAAGAAATAGTCCTATCCTATCCTCCTAATTCTATTTTACATGAAAGTTTTTAAGGATTCACGCAAATGTTACTAAATGAATTTTAATCAGTTTACATTAAAATTATTTTACCTCAGAATAAAATGTATTGAGTACCTTATAAATAGGAATATGAATATATGTAATAGGAATAGAATAATTCTCAACGATAAGTCTCAAGTAAGTCGGTCTTACTATTGACAAATAGAATTTCACGGGTGAAACCGCGGACAAAAGCTAGTTATTATAACTCAAAAACAAGACATAAAAATTAAACCAGAATGGCGATATACGAGTATTAGTGATTTTTTGTCATATCACTTGAAACGGAACGTCCCCATACAAATTCGCGTACTGCGAAACGGAACGCAAAATATCAATAAATGTCTAGCAACCGGGCCGGAACTGTGTTGCTTCGCGAATCAAACAAGCTTATATCGGGGACGTGTAGGCTGCGGGCAACACTCGGAATACAATGTTTCAACATACATCTTCAATGAGAAATTGTTTTGTGAGTTACGAACTTATACAGGGTGTTTTGGATTGTTGTTTATTTGTGTGCTGTGCTGGTGTCGTGACGACACAACATTTGCCCGGTGCTCCTGTCATTGTGTTCGAAGAGTGATTGCAATGCCGGCTGAAAGTCACCGCCGCGGCGAGTCTGGTCCTTCGAAAAAAATCGACAGATGCTGATGATATGGATATTTATTTGCATCATTTGCATAAATAGATAACATAAATGCAACAGAACAGAAGTCCAGAATAATGTCACACAGAAACAGAAAAAGAGGTAAATATTTAATTTATTTTCATGTATCCACTTACTTTATTGTTTACTTAAAGGCAATAAATAAGCCATCGCAATTTTTGCTTATTTGCTCACCGTTTAGACCTACCCTGGACCACGACAAACATTTTAAAACCAAAATCAGCTCAATTGGCCCAGCCGTTCTCGAGTTTTAATCAGACTAACGAACATCAATTCCTTTTTATTTATATAGATTACTTTACAAATTACCGCAGTGTACTTTAAGTATACATTTACTATTTATTTTATTTTATTTGTTTATTTAAGTTTAAAGTTTCGTATTTGTTTTACTAACTTCTTGATTGCGCGGGGTTTTTAAATGTTACAATATTTTTCCCTGTTCCATCTCACGTCACACTCATTACATTTTTGAAATTTCCTAACTGGAAGTTTTTGAACTTTTTCATCGCGCGTTGTGATTGCATAATGCTCATGGATAGGCTAATAAACAACGATTTATTTGCTTAAAAAATATTATTGCTTATTTTTGCCACGTCACCTCTGAATCTATGACCTGGTTTCAGTGTATGCTCTAGTTTTCGCTGCTACAAACTGCAATCGATATCCCCGGCCTATAATAATAGGATGGGAAAAGTCGATAAAAAGCATAATTTATGCGGTTTACTGTCTGCACAACTTCAAGCGACCTCCATTGTTGATGACGTCCACTTCGATTCTTGTATTTATTTTTCAAATAGATATAGGTAGTCTTCATCTAAATAAAGATTTCTTATTCAATATACCTAGTTAGTATAAAAAAAAACGGGAATGCTTACAAGATAATTATAGAGCTCATTTGAGCTCATATGAATTGATAGGCCATTAAGATTGGACTTTTTAAGAAATAATTTGCGGTATATTATCGTGATTTTATTACTTTACTTTATTTAATACTTTATTACTAATATTGAAAAAAAAAAAAAAAAATTGGACTATACAATAAGTATTGAAAAGTGAAAAGAAACGTCGCTAAAAAATCAGGTACGACGCGACGGTGGAACGAAACGCAGACATCAATAATATCTGCCATAGTGTCTGGCCGATCGCATCGCAGTCTGTGCGGCTTTCAGCCTCACTTCGGCGTTGGTTGCAACTAGCTTTGTCATCAAGATGAATATTTCTTTGCCAATCACTGAACCGAATGAAAATACACGCTACTACAGTTTCGTTCAGCAAGCTGT